TACAAAGCAATATTTTCTCCAACTCTCATTTCTGCCTATGTACTAGAGGAAATAAAAATTGGTGCCATCCACTATAACTTTTTTTATTATCCAGCAGAACACAAAACACTGATTACTTTGATACTGAAGGGACAATGTGCCCAAATAAGTATTGGTGAAGGACATCCAGTTTCACTAAGAAACGTCTCCCATTAGAAAAGCAGTTCTGATAGAATTGAAAATTTATGACTTTGAGCTTGATAGACACATTTCAAGAATGCCTACCTAGATAACCCAAGTGACTGTTGTATCAATCACATAATCCACTCCTCTTTGCTTTGCTATTTGGTTTATATCTAGATGTCTTTCTTCCCCAAACCTTGTGCCTCATAGGTAGTGTTCTTAGGAAATGACTGGATCATAGGGGTGATACTCAGTGAATTAGTCCACTGATGAATTTGTAGCTATAAGTGTTGTAGGGAGATAAAGTCTAGTTGGAGAAGGTGGGACACTGGGGGCAAGGCCTAGAAGGGTCTCTCTCCCTCACTGCTCCCTTGATCTCGCTCTGCTTCCTTGATTTCTCTCTCTGCTTCCTGCTGCCATGCTATGCACTGTTTCTCTTCTGCCATGCCCCATTGCCTTGCTGCCCTGTGTTGGAGCCAGCTGATAATGGACTGGCACTTTAAACAGTGAGCCAAAATAAACCTCTCTTTAACTTTTGTGTGTCAGGTATTTTCTCTCAGCAATGAGGAAGTAACTAAGACACCTGCCAAGGTTATCTCTGTCATTTGGAAACTATCACAGTTTCCACAGTTCATGTGGAAATGCTTTTTACTGAATTTTTAAACACAATATGCAGCTGTGAATTACATCTGCACATACACAGACTGCTATGTAAGCTAGTCTCAGTATTGAGTTAATCCAGTGATTGTTCTCTATTCTATCCATGTTACTTGGTATTTATTATATTCCTGTCATAGAATTTGAAGCTGGGATAGACTTAATAATAATGAAGGCACCATCCTATCAGTTCTCAGAAGTTCCAGTCCAACTGAAAAGGAGAAACTGGTAACAATATAAAAGGATATCTTAAAATTGTATAAAAATTTCCACAGGAGCCTGTAGGAGGAAATACCAAAAGTATTTTCGAATGTTAATATGTCAAATTAGGTTTGTAAGATAAAAATTTGAGATAAGAAAATATTAACATTTATTTAAGTATTTTAATATGCAAATAAGTATACATTGAATCAATATATGGTGTGTGGATTTATGTTGACATATTAAGTCCTTAAATCATGTGATATCATGTTAGTCTCACTTCACACATGGTGCCACATGTGTACTTAAGGAATTATGAAAACTCCAAATGAGTGCTGCTCTAATATATTCATTTGCATTTTAAGGAGATAATGTTAATTTACAGTTTTCATACCTAGTTAAACAGGTTTGTAGATCACATTATCTGATTGAAAGGCAACTAGCCCACACAAAAAGCAAAGGCTTTACAAAGATTGTTCCAAACAGTGACCAAATTAAAGATAATACTATTTAAAAAATAAGCAAAGAATAAAAACAAAATTGCAGAGTTTGTGTTTCTCCTCCATGGAGTATATTCAATCAAATTAGGAGGTGAAAACAACAATGATGGATCAACCAGTGCATTAAAAGTGAAAAAAACAAAACAAAACTTGAAAATATTTAGGAACTTAAAATTTTCCAATAATAGATTATTTGAAATATTTATTAACATCTACTTCTTTAGCAGTGAATATCAGCTCAACTTTATATGGTGCCTTGAGATATTAGTAAGTATAAAAATATCATTATACCTAAAATGTACCAATAAAATTAATTAAAAATAAAAATATCAGCATTTGAATAATCTTTAATGAGCATTAAAAAAAAAAGAAAATAATCCTCCACAATTTTAAGTGATATTTTAAGTCACTCAATACCCAATTAGGACTTCACAAAATTTTATTAAGCTTAAGGATAATGCTAAAATACTCTCTTGAGGATATATATGTGTATATATATATATATATACATGTATGTATTTATTGAGACAGGGTCTCACTTTGTAGTAGAAGCTTGCCTTGAACTCACTATGGAGCTTCAAACTGGTGTCAATCCTCCTTCCTCAGCCTTCTGAGTCCTGAGATTACAGGCATGCACTACCATAACTGGCTTTGAGGTTTCTTTTTAAAATAAAGAAATAGAATACTGCTTTGAATTAAATTCTTCCTGTTATAGTAATATATATGAACCCATATGGTGACATGGTAACATTTTGAAGACAAATACATTATTAAAGATTTGAAGAAACTTGTAATAAGACAAATTACAATCACAGATTGTACTGTGTTTGCTATACAGATGGACAAAACTGCAGCCTTTCTAACCACTCTAAACTAATAGGGTTTCGTAGCTTCTGTTTCAATAATGAAATACACTGAAAAAATACATTTTTGCCCTTGCCCTGAAAGCAAAGATGTTTTGAAGAAAATTTGGTCTCTAGAGTAAAAAACTTGTTAAGAAAATGAAAACCAAATAATATTTCAGCACAAAATTGTGCAGGCAAAACTTCCATCAGAACAGCTGCTTTGAGTAAAATATGGTACAGAAAGAGCCACAAATGATCTCCAATCATTCTATCAATCATAAGCTAAAAACTGAAGCAAAAAAGTAGAAGTCTGGAAGGCTACTGAATATTCCTGCTATGAGTACTTTTGAAAAAGCAGTTCTAGAAACAGTAGAGAATATTTCACTATAATTTAATTAGCTAAAAATGACCTGGCATCATGTTTTCCGTGAAAAGTATTTATAGAGATTTTTTGGTTCCTGAATAAAATGCAATTTATTTTTATATGATTTTGTACCCACAAAGTTGATATAAAATTTTATTGTGAATGTTTACTTTGTATTTTGCCATAATCAACTTATGACAATAATGAACACTGTGTTCCTTCCTTTCCATTAGTTACAATTCTGTACTTATTTTTCTTCTTTTACTAAGCTAGCTAGAATATTTAGTGCTTTGTTAAATAAAATTGGTAATATCAGGAAACTTATATTGTTCCTAGACAGAGGGATTACTCTCTTCTTTTCTCTACTAACTATTCTGTTAGCTATAGATTTATCATTTATGTTTAAAAGAAGTTTAATTCTGATTGCTAAGAATTGATTTGGGGGGCTGGGGATTTAGCTCAGTGGTTCTGGCACCTGCCTCACAAGCGCAAGGACCCGAGTTTGATCCCTGGTACCAAAAAAAAAAAGGAATTGATTTGGATGAATGGGTACTTTTCTTCATAGTTGATATGATAATAGAGTCTTTTTAGTTTTTAATGGGCAAACTTCATTTTTTTCTTATGTCAAAGTCACTCTCACATTTCTGGGATGGCTTTATTATTGTTGTATGAGTGTATTATTGTTGCATGTTTGTGTATTTGTGTATGTCACTCATTCACAGAGATCCTAACTAGTAACAACAAAAAAAATTAGACTGGCATTAGTACTGTAGCACCATTTAGTGCCAAAAGACAAGAGATAAAATACCACAATGTTTTAGAGGAAAAGAGTATGTTACTAGAGAGTATTTTGCCTAACCAAGTTTTTATTTTTTTTGCTTAAATTCTTTTATTGGTACATTTTAGGTATACAATACGTTTACATTTATCACTGGGTGCTTGTACCTGTACATGATGTATCTTGGTTCTTATTTTTTCCCCATTACTTGTGTGACCTTCACCCCTTCCACCCTTCCCTATTTACTTAGACTTTGTTTCTTTTTTTTCTTTTCTCATAATTTTTCCTTTCCCTTCTTTCCTTTCCCCTTCCCCTCCCACTTCCCCTACCCCTTTGTATTTTTTTTATGGAGAGAGGTAGCAGGCAGGCCTTCTCAAATATGAAAAAACTTATGCAATATATTACCTGCTAAGTATTTCTAAGAAAAACAAAACTCCATATTAAAATTTAATTGGTAAGAGCAACAATAATAATTCACCACATTTGGTAATGAGACCCTTTAGAGAATTTAGGGATGGTGCCATTGTTACAGACATAGTGATTATCAACCACTCCACTTAAGTCTACTATGAATATGTGAAAATAGTGGCAGAAGAAAATATAAGTGCTATGAATTTTGTAATGTTAAATCATTGATACAATTTACAAAAGTAAGGAGGTAAATGGAAGTGAGAACAGCAAGAATACCAAGGCTTTTAACTATGGATCAGGTGGTATCTAAATTTAAAAGATATAGTTTATGACAAATGACTGAAGGCCCTTGTTGTAAATATTATTTATTTTTACCCTTGGAAGGATATTCTCAGAAAAGACTATTTCCTCTGATTAGGAAATTAGTATTTAAATTTCAGCAGTTTTACTGAAATTCTATATTACCGAAATTCTATTTTACCAGAGATTTTTCTATTAAATTAAAACAAATCCAATTTAATATTATTAAAGCAGCATAAATTATATAATCACATTAAAAATGTCTTTTTACCTTATTCCTTTTACCTACATATGTTGTATCTCATTCAGGGTTTAGCTCAAAAAGTGGAGTTCATGCCAGGTAATCCAAAAGAAGGACTCGAATATGGTAGCAATTTGCAAAGATATTTGCAGAGCTAAAAGGCAGGTAGGTACATTAAGGAAATCTACAGATTAACAGCACCAAAAATCTGGTGGTGTCCCTCTCCCTGGAGGGTGGGATGAGAGATGTAGTGGTTCCCTAACCAAAAGCTGATGTCTGCAGATTGGGGTGTAGTTGTTCACATGAAAGTTACATGGCAATAACCTGAGCCAAAGATGCAGGCACTGCCCATGGTGAGCTGGAGCCATGAGGAGGGGCAGCAATTGCCAGAAAAGCAGTTCAGTATAGAACTAAGTAGGTGGAATACCTCTGTTTCTGCTTCCTATCTTCATAACGCTATCAGTCCTCACAATAACTAAATCTAGCCCTAAACCAGCAATCAAGGGTGTCTAGAATATTGGGAGAAGGGTAGAAAACATACCTGAGCAAGTGCTAACAGCTTGTACAGGTCCAGGAAAGGGGTGGAGAACATATCTGAGTACACATGTGCTAGCAGCTAGAACATCTGCAGAGCAAAACAAGCAAGTTGATGATTATGCTTTGCTTAACAGTGATAAATTCTAAATATTGGAGTTTTTGATGATTTTGTTTTTCCTTTTTATTGCTTCTGAATTATAGAAAACTTCTAAATCTTGCGCTCAATATTTGAAAGCAGACTGATCAATGAGAAAAAAACATATATTTAAAGAGTAGTGTACTACAGTTTGGAGAACTGCAACACATTCTGAATGTTCCCATATGTTACCTAGAAGCAGTGAAGGTAGCAGAATGGGAAGATAGTGAGGCATGTATAAAAAAGGAACTTTTCTGCCAAGAAATTTGAGTTTTTCAGATTGTATTGGACCATTGTAGCAGTTAGCAATTAAGAACAAAACACAATCACAGATGTATTTTAGATCTATATCCAGAGAGCAGCTACAGAATGCAGTGAAGGAGAATATAACTTCAGACAATATTGCCCAAGTCCATATTATAGTTAAGGAATAGTGTATTATAGTATATTTACGGCACACTTATTAGTTAGTAATAATCTTTAAACTTGCTATGATATATATATAGTACCTGGGATCGAACTCGGAACCTTGTGCTTGTGCGGCAGGTACTGGAACTACTGAGCTATATTCTCAGCCCTACTTGCTATGATATTTGATAGGTGATCAACTTAGTCCCAGAAAATTCACTTGTATTCACTTTAGCTTAGGTACTTAATTTAACAGAGATGTTATGGGAATGTAGACTTATAAAATACTTTGAAAACTTTGTTGCTTTTTATATTTGGCAAAATATTCATGCTGAATAGCTGAGCTCTTCATCTCCTAAAACTAGTTAGCCAATTATTCCCTCTTAACTGTCCCCAAATTGCACAATTTTCATGTATTGTTTAATGCCTAGAATGTGTATTTAGTAATAGGTAGCAGAGAGGAAATGTGTGTTTACCCTAATAAATGTGCAAGATAAATGGAAGGTATAATACTATTTAACATTATGTTCATTTATGTTATAAAATCATATATAAAGAAAGGTAAATTCAATAATTGACCCTAGGTATTGTAGAGGCTCAATAGATCTGTATGGTACAGAATAGTTGAAAAAAAGCATGAAGTGAAGAAATCTTGAAATCTCCCAAGTGTTTTATGACTTTTGTTCTTTATTATTCCTAAATGACTAAATATTTCTGCAATATATTGATATGAATGTATTTATTAAGAAATGAAATGCTTGTAATAGTTTTCTTTAGCTCATAAGAGAAGAAATAATTACGATCCAAATGTATTTGGAGTGTCTACATTTGTTTTCCAAATTCTTTCCTCTCATTTTACTTATAATGAGAATATATTCAACAACACATTAAAGCATTGATAACTCAAATTTAGTTTTATTAAACTCATCACATATCCATATATTGAAATATCTCTAAGTCATTACAACTATTAATTAATGAAGTACAGTAGTATAATATTGAAGAATGATGAGTTTTTAGAGAAAACCTTTAGCATAACAGATGATATGCTTTTTTTTTCTGATACCAGGAATTGAACTCAGGACCTTGTGCTTGTGACGCAGGTGTGGCACCACTGAGCTACATCCTGAGCTAGATGATATATTTTTTTCTTATTTATCAGTGAATGAGAAGAAGAATATAAGAAAAAAGAATGAGTCAATTTTACAATAAGATATTTAACCATTATACTTTGAAGTTAAAAAAATGACAGTAGGATTTAGTAGGTTGATTCTGCCTTAAGTTAAAGATGTATTGTTCTGAATTTTAAGGAAAGACATTTAAGTCTTGGTAAGTAAAAAGTTTTCTCTTTTTCTAATTTTAACAGTGTGGTTGATGAATACTATGAATGTTTTTGTTCTTCAATGTCAATCACCATATGTTGGACAGATGCATTCTTTACCTACTAGTTAAAAATTACTGTTAATTGCAGGTACAACCCCATCTCCAGCCCCAAGCAGCTAGCAGTAGACATGCCCTGCCACACTATGTACAGTTGGACAGATGCCACAGACCTGGTCCTATTTCAGTACTATGTGAGTTGTGTAAGCATTATCATGTGAACCTAGCAAAGTAACAGAGTAGTTTATGTAGTATATTTCTATGTGGAGCTGGCAAAGGAAGGCCTCTTTCTTCTCTGAAATAAGATGCAGACTTAGATCTGCAGAAGGTCCTGTCTCCGTCCATGCAGAGGAGTCTGCAGGTAGCCAGCAAGTTGCCTTGACTCAAAATTTCCTGGCTGAATTTATGTTATTCTGAAATTACCATAATTCTGTATCTTTATTCTTTGAGCAATTGCAGAGTCTTTCCACGGATATCCTCTTTTACTTAAGTTAATCTGAGCTTATTTAGAAGTAAAAGTCTGCTACATCTCTTCATCATGACAGTATGTGGGGTGGAGGGAGAAAAGCAAACATTTCCTTCTACATCTTTAAGGACGGAGATGGTTCAGAATTTACCATTGTCAAGTAAAATTCCATGGCTGTCAAGGCAGCACTCTGAAGTTAAACTCATTAAGATTTCTATTGTGACATGAATGAATATCTACATACTACATGGGATTAAAAAGGGCTCTGAATGTCCTGATATCGATTCAGGTCAGTTTTGTTTTCAAATGAGTTTCGACATTAAATGCAGGGAAACTTGTTTTCAGGGCTCTTTGAATTTTGGAATTGCAGAAAGGAGTGGATAGCTGATACTATTGAATGGTAAGTCCTCTTTTGATTTTAGTGATACAATGTAAAGAACCTTCTTTAGTGCAAGTTCCTAATAAGTACCCATTTCTAGCCTCCAGCTACTCTTTCCCTCCCAAATGGAAGTTCTCCCCAGTAAGCCATTATGGTTATGTTTTGAAGAAAAGTTGGCTGTCAGAATTCAGGAACACCAGAGCTTAATTTCTGCAGGAACAGCACTTTGATTTGGAATGGCTAAAAGTCTACTTTTCAGTGAGAGATGAAATATACATAGGAATAAGAACTATCCAGTATAAAATGTCCTGCTGAAAGACAATGGAGAAGATATTCTTTTGGACAGTAGAGTTTATCTGTTCAGTCCCCATGACAAAAATATTATAGACCCATGTTAATTTTGTTTAGAAAAGGCATTTGGTGAGATAGTAACAAAATTTAATAACACATGTGTCTATTAATTTTGTACTTTTCCTTTTTTCAAGAAATAAATCTTTAAGCAAATTTAAGAAAGAGAAAAATATTCATATAGAGAAAAATGAGAAACTTACATCCCAAAGATCCAGAAGAAATTTGTTTTTGTCTTAATAGTAGCTGAGTCAATAAAATAATCCTTCTTAACAAATATCATAAATATCAAAATCATAAAAGCTAATATCAATAATGAATTTTTTATTCTGTCTTGGCCCTCTAATAACACTTTACACATATTGTTTTCTTCAATCTTCACAATGGCCATATATGAAAGGGTATATAATTCTATTTGTTTTACAAAACAAAATAATTATGATTTAGGACACAGGATTGTCTAAAGCAGCATGTGGTAGGGGTTCCTAATTTCTATTTAAAGGTCTGATAAAATTTGAGTATGAGGTAAAATCTAATTTCACATCTGAAACAGAAATTAGTTGTCTTAAAAAATAAAAACAAAATTAGGCAGAACCAAAAGGTAGAAAAAAAATGGCACCATTGAAAAAATGGAAAATAATTTGGTATGGTTCTTGGACAGGTGACAGATGTTGCAGAGAAGGCAAGAAGAGACACTGGAGAAGTAAGAATCGTCAAATTCAAGCAAAGTATCTACATTAAGAAATTTGACATGATTCTGAAGGCCATGAGGAGCCACTGAAATGCTTATGCTAAAGAACAAACTCTATATCACAGTTTGCATTTGATTTATCTTTCTGGTTGCATTACAAATAATGGGTTTGAAAGGGGCAAAACAGAAGACAAGAAACTCAAATGTATTTGGGAGGAATAACCTAGGTGAGAGATCAGTGGCATAAATTATGGTAGTGGGCAAAATTGGAAGGATTCTAGAAATTTTAATTGCAGAATCTATCAGGACTGATGGTTTGTTGTTTACATAAAGGGTAAGAGGAAGAGGTGAGGTCTATACTGAGGATTTAATCAAGGGTCCAGTACAGGTAGCAGTGCCATTTACTGAGCTCAGAACACAGGAGCAGAGGAGCAACTGAGATGAAGATGAGAAGGCCCTTCTTCTAAAAGGAATGTTGAAGTTGTTTTAAGGCAATCCCTTAAAATACACACCATTTAGATATGCTGATCCACAGCTCAGGAGAGAGAATAGGCCGAAGCTTCTAACTTAGAAACATTGGCAGATACTAGGACAAGAAATTGTGGGATTAGATAGAGATGGATCACATTCAGTGAAAGGAATGAAACTGCAAACACCAACAGTCCTACAGATGGGACATAGAAGCATTAGAAAAGCCTTTTACCAATTCTCTATAGTGAATGTAATCACTACATTCTGCAAATGTGTACTGATAAAAGTTAAAAAAAAAAAAAAGAAAAGCCAGTGAAAGAGAATGTTTCAAATATCGGGGGTTGCCCGACCACCTGACTGAGGGTACAGTAGAGGATGAAGGAATAATATATAAAGAACAAAGAATAAAGAGCAAACAATTGTTTATTATTGGGGGACAGCATTTGATCTTAGCTGTTCCTGGCTAAGGTCATATTTCCCGACTTGTCAGCACTTACTGTTTACACAATATAGTGGTCAGGGTGCATAAAGGCAGATGTAAGTAACATTGGGCTAAGGCACTAGTGAGCTAGGCTTGTAAAAGGGAGAACTATTTCCAGGAATGAATTTGGGAGTATTGCTTCCCTTTCAATTTCATTGAAGAGTTTAAACAGTAGTGGCAACAGTTCCTCTCTAAATGTCTTGTAGATTTCAGCAGTAAAGCCATCAGGGCCCGGGCTTTTCTTAATTGATACATTTTTAATTACGTTTTCAATTTTATTGGTTGATATTGGGTTGTTCAGAATATTTAGGTCTTCTTCGTTCAACTTTGGTAATTCATATGTATCTAGGAATCTGTCCATTTCTTCTGTGTTGTCCATCTTATTGGC